CTGCTGGGGCGGAAGCTGCGGCGGGCACGACGGAGCTGCCCTCAGCAGCAGCAGCAGCGCCGGCGGAACTCCGCCGCCGCTGCTGCTGCTGCTGCTGCTGCTGCTGCTGCTGCTGCTGCTGCTGCTGCTGCTGCTGCTGCTGCTGCTGCTGCTGGCGGCAGCGGGCGGGGCTCTCCATGGAGTGGATTAGCTTCCTGGAGGCCACGCGCAGCACAACTGCGAAGAAGAGCGGCAGCAGCAGCTTTTTTGCTGCAGCAGAAGCAGCAAAGTCTTTGAAGGCAGCCCAAAGTGCTGCTGCTGCTGCTGCTGCTTGTCCCTGCTGCAGCAGCAGCAGCACTGAGGGGGGGGCCCCCGCGCCCCCCGCAGCAGCAGCAGCAGCGGGGGCCCCCTGTCTCCTCGAAAAGAAGGAAGCAGCAGCAGCAGCAAACAAAACCCCAATGGCCAGCAGCTGCCGCTGCTGCTGCTGCCGCCGCCGCGCCCTAGCAGCTCTTGCTGCTCTGTAGCTTCTTGCTGCTGCTTGCAGGGGGCCCCCTGCGAGGCAGGCCTCAAAGGGGCCCCCCGGGGGGGCCCCCGGGGGGCCCCCCGGGGGGCCCCCCGGGGGGCCCCCGAGCTGGGGGCCCCCCAGGGGGGCCCCCGAGGCGGCCTGGGGGCCTCCCTCGGACTCGCTGCTGCTGCTCATGGGGCCTGCTGCTGCAGTCGGCGCCGGCGGGGCGCAGCAGCGGGAAAAGAGCGGCTCTGGGGGGCTCGAAAGAAGCCAAATGGAAATAAATAAATAAATAAATTGCAAAGAATGGAAAAGAAGTCGAAAATAAAAGAAAAAATGGAGCAGAAGTCGCAAAGAAGAAGCGCGGAAGGCTCGAGGCTGCGGCCACCGATGCGGCGGCGGAGGCGCGGCTGTCTGAGCCCGTTTGCGCAGCAGCAATCGAATTAAAAGAAATTAATTCTTTTAATTCATTTAATTCTTCAAATTAATTCAATTCGAGGAACTTAAACCGAAAAAAAAACTGCAGAACTGCCCGAACAGACGCCGCAGCTAGCAGCGCCGCGGGAGGCCGAGAGGCCTCTCTAGTCAGCCACAGCAGCAGCAGCAGCAGCAGCAGCAGCAGCAGCAGCAGCAGCAGCAGTAAGGGGCGTGTCTGGGCCTCTGCCTTTTTATTTTTGAGTTTATAAAATAAAATTATTAAAAGCAAAGACACAATTAATTAAATTTCGTCTGCTGCTGCCCCGCGGACCCTCGACCTGCAGCCCGCCAGCTACGCAGCGGCTGCACGCCTGTAAACCCTAAACCCCAAACCCTAAACCCTAAACCCTCGACCCCACACTCGACACACAGCAATGCCCAGCTATTCGCCGCTCCAAAAACTAGAGCCTGAGGCTGCAGCAGCGAGGACGCGTCACCACAGCAGCAGCAGCAGCAGCAGCAGCAGCAGCAGCAGCAGCAGCAATGCGGAGTCCCTCGGCTTCCCACCGCCATCAGCAGCAGCAGGCGTGCGGTGTACATACACCCCACGCAGTTTTGGGTGCTGCAGCAAGCAGCTCAAAAGACAGATAGAAAAATATAAAGAAATTAAAAGATACTTACAGAATGCCCAGTGGCTAGCTGAGACAGCAGCAGCAGCTGCTGCAGCAGCAGCAGCTGCAGCAGCAGCAGCTGCAGCAGCAGCAGCTGCAGCAGCAGCAGCTGCAGCAGCAACAGTAGCTCCAGCAGCAGCAACAGTAGCTGCCGCAGCAACAGTAGCTGCAGCAGCAACAGTAGCTGCAGCAGCAGCAACAGTAGCTGCCGCAGCAACAGCAGCTGCAGCACTATTGTTGCTGCAGCTACTATTGCTGCTGCAGCAACAGTAGCTGCCGCAGCAACAGTAGCTGCAGCAGCAACAGTAGTTGCAGCAGCAATAGTAGCTGCAGCAACAACAGTAGCTGCAGCAGCAGCAACAGTAGCTGCAGCAGCAGCAACAGTTGCTGCAGCAGCAGCAACAGTTGCTGCAGCAGCAGCAACAGTTGCTGCAGCAGCAGCAACAGTAGCTGCAGCAGCAGCAACAGTAGCTGCAGCAGCAAGAGCAGCAGTAAGAGCAGCCGCTGCAGCAGTAACAGTAGCTGCAGCAGTGACAGCAGCAGCAAGAGCAGCCGCTGCAGCAGGAGCAGCAGCTGCAGCAGTGACAGCAGCGGCAACAGCAGCCGCTGCAGCAGTAACAGCAGCTGCAGCAGTAGGAGCGACAGCAGCAGCAAGAGCAGCCGCTGCAGCAGTAACAGCAGCTGCAGCGGTAACAGCAGCTGCAGCAGCAACACCAGCTGCAGCAGTAACAGCAGCTGCAGCAGCAACAGCAGCCAATGCAGCAGCAACAGCAGCTGCAGCAGCAACAGCAGCCAATGCAGCAGTAACGGCAGCTGCAGCAGCAATAGTAGCTGCAACAGCAACCGCGACTGCAGCAGCAATAGCAGCTGCAACAGCAGCTGCAGCAGCAATAGCAGCTGCAACAGCAGCTGCAGCAGCAATAGCAGC